ATAATGTAATCACTCCCATGAGATGATCTGCTGTCATCAGCCATGATCTGATATAATTCTCCAAAGTGGTGTCATTCCTCAGTTCTATGATGTCCTGGTGTGGTGCTGTAAGTTAATGCACTGATCTGAAAGATCAGTTTGAACCACAAGGTCAGTGGTTCAAGTTCACCAGTCACTCCTAGGAAACCCTATACAGGGTCACTATGCATCAGAACCAACTAGACAGCACAATGTAATGTTAATCGGGCTGGATGCAATCTACAAGATTAGGCTGTGTCCTGAGTCAATTTCTTGAGACATGAAAGAGATTAAACAGGTAAGCACAGTTCACAGGGACCTACAACCACCAAGAAACAAGAGCTGGAGTAGAGGGCGTCCTTTAGGCCTGGGTGCCCTGCACTGTGAAATTTCCTAGATCCAGAGGAAGATTGATGCCAAGATGCATTGAGCTTTCCAAGGAAGGTTTGGCCTACAGATGCTGACAGGAGAGAAGGACATTGCTCCAGAATTGACAGAAAGAGAAAGCCTTTCCCGACAGCCAGCACTCTGAATTTGGACATCTAGCCTTATAAAAGGAGAGGGAAGACATTTGTTAAAGGTATCCACTTGTGGAATTTCTGTTATAGCAGAACTAGATAGCTAAGGCAGGTGACAAGACATATATACACAGAAGTTTGGGGAACAGTGAAGAATTTGGAGATTCCAGTGGTACTCTGTTACTACCCACAAGGAGGAACAGACCTTGTCCTCTGACTCTCTGATTCCTGGGTGTTTTCAGGGCACCAGAAACACGGGCTTAGCCTCCTCAGGTACGTGTCCCACCTCATTAATGAATCAGTAACTGTCCTCTTTAGGCATTAGGTCATCTCCATTTCCCTTCCAAAACTGATACAAAAAAAGACCCATGTTCAGGGAACCTGACACTACTTTCAATTTCCAGACTTGGCACAGATTAAGCCATGCTGTAATATTTGTGGAAAGAATGAAAAATATGGATTACATTAATAAATTCCTGAAAAAGAAGTTCTGGATATAAACAGTTTCACTTAAAGATGGATGTGCATTTGTTTATTTCTGTTAAGCATCTTCTTTGTTCTGTCTGGAGCAGAAATGTTGTGCTTGCCTCACTGGATCCTCAAGCACCCCTGGGAGGAGGATGCTATAGTGCCATTTTACAGATGGGGAAGCTGGGATGTGGGGTGGCCACACCTCCAGTGGGCCCGTCCTCCCAGATTCCACTTTCATGTCAATCCCACTCTGCCAGTTCTTCCCCTGCATTGACTTCTTATTAACACTTTTTCTCAAATAAGAAAGCTTATGGGTGAGTTAGCTAACATGAGTTGATGAGTGAGACCAATGAGTAATTTTCTTCTGGTACCAAACTTGGCAGGAAATCACCTGGTGCAGAGAAAAGGAGATTTTTAAATCAGGCTAGAATCCCAAGTAGAATTCCCTTCTCACTGTCTCACTGCCTCCCTAGGTCAGGCCCCTTCAACTCTGGAGCCACTGTTTCCTGCTCTGAGATGAGGACAGTGACCCCTCCCAGCAGGTTAGAGAATAACATGCAGGAGGAATCTGAACAGTGCCTCACGCTTATCGGTCACGGTGATGATGCAGTCATGTTTATTGCTTACAAATGCTCCTTCTTGTAGCCAAGCCCTCTGCCCCTGTGGTATTGGGCCCCTCAGCGAGGATCTCACCTGGGCAGACAGTAAGCTTCACCTGCGAGTCCCATGGCTTCTCCCCCAGAGATGTCACCCTGAAGTGGTTCAAAAATGGGAATGAGCTCCCAGCCCTCCAGACCGAGGTGGTCCCACTAAAGGACGGTGTGTCCTACAACGTCTCCAGCAAGACCCAGGTGATGCTGACCCTAGAAGACATCTACTCACAGGTCATCTGTGAGGTGGCCCACACTACCTTACAGGCCTCTCTTCGTGGGACAGCCAACTTGTCTGAGACCATCCGAGGTAGATGACACTCACACCCAGCCCAGACCCTTACCTGCCCCCAAACCTGCTTCCCCTAGTTTGTTCCAGAGCTTGTACTACCTGGAATCCAACTCCTAATTATCCCTCCCAATTACCATAAACTACAGTGCGCCAGTCAAGCTGCTAAACACTCATTTATTGCCATGCTAGTGGGGGCTTCCAGGTGAACATCTTCCATGCGCCAAGCACAAGCGCTAGGTAGTTGCACTAATTTTACCATTAGCCATGGAAGTTACTGAGTACCAAATACATGTCAAGCCCCTAGGAGCTTGGTAACTTTATTTTGCTACAAATACATTCCAACTGCATGCAAGGCATTGTGATTTTTTATTTCATTCATTAATATAATAGGAACTATCAGTGCATGAGCACCTACTTGTGTGCCTAGTGATTTTACTGAGGATGCAAAGAGGCTGTGTATTGTCTGAGCACCTACTGCATGCCTGATGTTGCCCTCAGTGCTTCCCTTGTTGTGATGCTGGAAGCCACCCTTTATCCATCCCCACTCTGTGTGATCTGTCTGTTCCACAAGGTCAGAGATTCTGTTCTGTGCTGTTTCAGTTCCACCTACCTTGGAGACCACCCAACTGACCATTCCAGGGAACCAGGTGAACATCATCAGCCAAGTGAAGAAGTTCTAC